TGCGTTGAGAGGGTTTCACCTGGGATAACCTTGCAGTCCTCGCACAACCTTATGTCGCATCTCCTGAGGAGGAGATAGTCAATCTGAGTCTTCGCCACCGAACTTTGGTAAGTAATCAAATGTTCATCTCGCTTCGTAAAACTCGAGTTTGCAATGACTAGATCGAAAGCCTTGGCAAAGTCCAACAACGCAATGCCCCCTCCGTTCCGCTCTCCGAAACCAAATCCGCCATGCACCTCAGTGTACCCACATGCAGATAAACCAATATGACCATTGAAATCTCCTCCTATGAATAACCTCTCAGAAGGAGGTATACTACGAACAATCTCATCCAACCCCTCCCAAAATTGTCTTTTAATATCCTCATCCAAGCCTGCTTGTGGTGCGTACGCGCTAACGATATTTAAAGTACCCTCACCCACCACCAACTTAATAGTCATTAGCCTATCATTCACTCGCCTGACCTCTACCACAGACTCCCTAAGATGGCTATCTACCAGGATACCCACTCCATTCTTACCCCTCAGGACACCAGAGTACCACAACTTATACCCATCCACGTCTTTCGCCCTCAATCCGACCCACCTAGTCTCCTGGACACACGCTATATTAATCTTCCTCTTCCGCAGGATTTTCGCCAACTCTATGGATTTACTCGTTAGTGAACCTATGTTCCATGACCCGATTCTNGCCACTGGTAAGCAAAGAAGCAGAGAAAAATGATTGCTCTTTTTCAATTGAAACAGATGCACCACTAAATGGGAGGAAAAATCAGCTAGATAAATCAAAGTAAAATCTGAAATCAGAAAGTGAAAACTCAGAGGCAAACCAACAATCACAAGCCCCAAAAATCTGTTCCGATTTCTAGCTCCCAGGAAACACTTGAAAACCAGAAACAAGCTCCCAATTTCTGAAGAGTTTTGAATTTTTGATTTCTACCGCGTGTGTTTCTTTAAAGAAGAAGAAGAAGGAAACGGTGGGATCTTCCTTTATTACGCATTTTTTATGGTACTAATATATCATCTCCTATTGCTTTTTTGAGCCGAGGGTCTCCTGGAAACAGCCTCTCTACCCTTTGGGGTAGGGGTAAGGTCTGCGTACATATTACCCTCCCCAGACCCCACTTGTGGGATTATTCTGGGTCGTTGTTGTTAAAAAAATAGAGTAACATAGAACAATATAGTAATGAAAACAAAATATATAAGAGAAGAATGTAGAAGTTATCTTATTCAAGCGTGTTTCTTGTGTATCTTCCAAAGGAGAATAACATACTATTTATAGGTTACAAAATCTCTTCTCAATTTACATGTATTAATGAACTCATTCATTTGGTATTGAATTTTTCAAAGGAAGTTACGAAGAACATCTACATACATTAGAAGTGACATCCATATACATTGGATTTATAACTCTCCCCCTTGGATGTCCATAGATAATGTGTCTCGTTAAAATCTTACTAAGAAAAAATCAGTGGAAAAAGTTTGGCGAAGGAAAAAAAGTACACATATCTTATAATACGCATCGAGTACTGCCTCATTATAAACCTTGTCAGAAAAACCCAATGGGATAAAACCTTAGCTAAGGAAAAAAGAGTACAACGCGTATTTGTCTCCCCCTGATGAAAACATCACTTTATTTCTCGGAGATGATGCATTTCAATCTTCCACTTCAACTTCTCAAATGTTGAGGTTGACAATGCCTTAGTTAACGGACCAACCAAATTATCACTTGAATAAATTTGTTGAATATTAATTTTACCATTCTGTTAAAGATCATGCGTCTGAAAAAGAACTTTGATGAAATGTGCTTAATTCTGTCTCCTTTCATATATCATTCTTTCAATTTAGCCAGGAAAGCAACATTGTCTTCAACACTATTGGAATCTTCTTTTCATAGAAAAATCACACGTCTCCTTTGTGTTGAGTCAATTAATTAATAAGCTGCTATTATTTTGGTATGACTTGGATAAGTATCAATAATAGATTGTTTGCAGAACAAACTTCATGTAATCCCCTGCATTTGCATAACCAATAAAACCTTGATAATATTTGTTAGAATAAATAAATTTATATCAGACTGGATTTCTTTTGTAATATAATACTAATCATATTCTAATATCTCTATATAGGAGTAAAACAGTATCTTGCTAGCATATGTTATACTCATGTTTCTAGCAAGATACATTAGTACATCAATTTTATACTAGACACAAAAATAAATCATGTACGTCATGATTACTTTAATCCATCAAAGGATTTGTTGAAGCTTTATTTAGTTAATTTCTTCGGAACCTTTATATGCTTCAAAACAATTTAAAGCCTTCAAGGACGGGTATATCAAACTTTTCAGTGTATTGCCAAACTAAAACCTGAAAATGATTTATCCACCACAAGAGAACATCCATATAACTAATGCCACGATATTTATGAAAAATCTTGTGCCATAAGTCATCTTTATATCTATCGACTGGTTTTTCAATTTATTTTTTGTACAAGAACATATTTGTACCTTCACCGGTTTTATGCTTTTAGGTATTGAAACTATTCGTCCAACTTCACGTTTTTCACGTGAAGTCAAGCTTAATTGCATATTTTTTTCAATAGACTCCTTATCACACCCCGAGTTCATTCATATCAAAAGCATCAAAATCCAACCACAAAGGCCCCTCAAATCTCAATCTAGGTTTTCAACTACAAGCCCTAGTTCTTCAATATTAGGCTTAAATTCCATGTTTAATTAGGTAGAAATTCACATAAGAATCGAGTATTAAGTCCATAAATCTTACATCCAAGTGTTCCCTCTTGAATCCCTCTTCAATCTTCTTCAAAAAGCTCCAAAATCGCTCAAAAATGATGGAAGATAACCCCAAAATCGCGAACAAATGGCTATTTAAACATTCTGCCCAAGCACCCAAATCCTTCTTCGCGAACGCAGTCAACGCCTCGCGTTCGCGAAGCACAAACTAACTTTGACCAAATTTCCTTCATCGCGATCACGACACCCAACTCGCGAACACGACTCCCTTTCCGCAAACACGAAGGACAAATCAACCTGAACCCATCTGCTCAACTTCCTCTACGTGAACGCGACATAACCTCGCGAATGCGATGCACAACAACCCCAGTCCTTCGCGAACGCGGAACCTTCCTCGCAAACGCGAAGGCTAAATCTCTAGCCTCACCTGCTAACCCTTCGCGAATGCGAGGGCCTACTTACAAACGCGAAGGTCATTTGTCTACAACACTCAACAACAGTTTTATGTAGTTTTTCACAACACGAAATGGTCCGATTGACCACCCGAAACTCACCCGAGGCCCCCGGGACCTCAACCAAACATGCCAACATAATCCATAACATCATTCAAACTTGTTCCAATATTTGGAATGCTCAAAACAACTTCAAAACACCAAATTCGCATCGGATTCAAGCCTAAAGAAATTCCAAAATCTTCTAAATCACGCTTTTGATCAAATAGTCTACCAATCCATGTCTGAATGACCTAAAATTTTGCACACACATCCCAAATAACACAACGGAGCTACTACAACTCCCGGAATTCCATTCCGACCCTTATATCAAAATCTCACCTATCAATCGGAAAATGCCAAAATTTTAATTTCGCCAATTCAAGCCTAATTCTACTCCGGACCTCCAAAACACATTCTGATCACACTCGTAAGTCCCAAATCACCTCCTGAAATTATCCGAACCATCAGAACTCACATCCGAGCCATCTAACACATAAGTCAACATCCAGTTGATTTTTTCAACTTAAGCTTCCTCAAAAGAGACTAAGTGTTTCAAACCTTCTCAAAACCTTTCCAAACCCGAGCCAACCAACCCGATCACATATAGAACCGATAAATAAAGAAATAAGAAGTAGAAATGGGGAAACGAAGCGGTAACTCATGAAACGACCGGCCGGGTCGTTACATCCTCCCCCTCTCAAACAAACGAGTTAAAAAACATACCTGAAGCCTCAAACATGTGAGAATATCTGCTCCGCATCTCCCGCTCGGTCTCCCAAGTAGCCTCCTCTATGGACCGACCTCTTCACTGCACCTTCACTGAAGTTATATCCTTTGATCTCAACTTTCGAACCTGACGCTCCAAAATAGCTGCTGGCTCTACATCATAAGTCAAATAACCATCTAACTTCACCGTGATGAAATCCAGAACATGAGACGGATCCTCAATATACTTCCGGAGCATAGAAACATGAAATATCGGATGCACACTCGACAAGCTGGGTGGAAACACAAGCTCATAAGCCACCTCCCCAATTCTCCGAAGCACCTCAAAAGGCCCAATGAACTGAGGACTCAATTTACCCTTCTTCACAAATCTCATAACGCCCTTCATGTGCGAAACCTTCAACAGAACCTTCTCACCAACTATGTAGGACACATCCCGAACCTTCCTGTCAGCATAACTCTTTTGTCTCGACTGCGCTGTACGAAGCCTCTCCTGAATCACCTTCACCTTTTCTAATGCATCCTGCACCAAGTCTGACCGCAATAGCCTAGCCTCGCCCGGCTCAAACCAACCAACTGGAGATCTACACCACCTCCTATACAAAGCCTCATATGGAGCCATCTGAATACTTGAATGGTAGTTATTGTTATAAGCAAATTCTAGGAGCGGTAGAAACTGATCCCATACCCTCCGAAATCAATGACACAAGCACGTAACATGTCCTCCAATATCTGAATAGTGTGCTCGGACTGTCCGTTCGTCTGAGGGTGAAAATTCATGCTCAACTCAACCTGAGTACCCAACTCTCGCTGCACAGACCTCCAAAACTGCGAAGTAAACTGAGTGCCCCTATCTGAAATGATGGAAACTGGGACACCATGCAAATGAATAATCTCCCAGATATAGATCTCTGCCAACCGCTTTGAAGAATAGGTAGTACACATAGAAATGAAGTGTGCGGACTTGGTCAGCCGATCCACAATCACCCAAATAGCATAGAACTTCTTCAAAGTCCGTGGAAGTCCAACTACAAAGCCTATAGTGATCCACTCCCACTTCCACTTTGGAATATCCATCTGCAGAAGCAATCCACCAGGTCTCTGATGCTCATATTTCACCTGCTGACAATTGAGACACCGAGCTACAAATCCCACAATGTCCTTCTTCATTCTCCTCCACTAATAATGCTGTCTCAGATCCTGATACATCTTCGCGTCACCCAGATGGATGGAATACCGCGAGCTATAGGCCTTCTCAAGAATCAACTCTCGAAGCCCATCTACATTGGGCACACATATCCGGCCCTGCATCCTTAACACCCCATCATCACCAATGTGAGCACGTGATTTTTGTCCTATATGAATTACTCCCATATATTCAAGAAAAATAAATTTTTCCCATTATTTGCAATTTCGTAGATCTTTGTAGCATTTTTTGTTAATTGTTTGCATTTGTCTGCGCATGT